ATACACTGGGGAAAAGAATCCTTATTCAATAAATAGTGCTGGGAAAAATGGATAGCCACATGCAGAAGACTGAAACAGGACCCACACCTTTCACCTCTCACAAAAATCAACTCATGCTGGGTAACAGACTTGAACATTAGGTGTGAAACTATTAGAATCCTAGAGGAAAATGTTGGAAATACTCTTCTAGACATTGGCCTAGGCAAAGAATTTATGAAGACCCCAAAGGCAATCACTTTAGCAACAAAAATAAATAAATGGGACCTGATCAAATTAAAAGCTTCTGCACAGTCAAAGAAACTGTCCAGAGAGCAAACAGACAACCCACAGAATGGGAGAAAATTTTCACAAGCTACACATCCAATAAAGGGCTGATAACTAGAATCTATTTAGAACTCAGGAAAATCAGCAAGAAAAAAATCAACCCTATCAAAAAGTGGACAAAAGGACATGAACAGAAATTTTTCAAAAGAAGTCAGAATAAAGGCCAACAAACATATGAAAAAATGCTCAATATCTCTCATCATCAGGGAAATGCAAATCAAAACTGCAATGAGATATCACTTATCTCCAGTAAGAATGGCCTTTATCAAAAAGTCCCCAAACAATAAATGTTGGCGTGGATGCAGAGAGAGAGGAACACTCCTACACTGCTGTTGGGACTGCAAACTGGTTCAACCTCTGTGGAAAGCAATATGGAGATACCTCAAAGCAGTACAAGTAGATCTACCATTTGATCCAGCATTTCCACTACTGGGCATCTACCCAAAAGATCAAATGACATACAAATGGGACACCTGCACTCAAATGCTTATAGCAGCACAGTTCACAATAGCAAAGGTGTGGAAACAACCCAGGTGTCCATCAATACATGAGTGGATTAATAAAATGTGGTATATGTATACCATGGAGTACTATTCAGCTTTAAGAAACAATGGTGATATAGCACCTCTTGTATATTCCTAGATAGAGCTGGAACTCATTCTACTAAGTGATGTATCTCGAGAATGGAAAAACAAGCATCACATATATTCACCAGCAAATTGGTATTAACGGATCAACACTTAAGTGGACATATAGGAATAACATTTATCGGGTGTCGGGCGGGTGGGAGGGGGGCATGGGCAATATACATAACCTTAACATTTGTACCCCATAATATGCTGAAATAAAAATAATAAAAATAAAATAAAAAGAATAGGAATGGGTATTTGGTTAGGAAACCAATTGGGTCTTACGGCATTTTTGTCTTTTTTTTTTCATAAAATTTTTTGTTAAATTGTGTAAAACATTTTGATTCTAACAAATATGGTCAGTGAGTCACCCCATCATTCCCTAAGAACTCCGGTCCTCAAAAGGTTAGTCTTGCTTTGAAACTCCGGGCAGAGAAAGACTTGGAGAGTCTGATCATTCCTATAGGAAATCTTAGTTTTGGAGATTCCAGATCTCAATAGGAGATTGCTTTTGAGCCCCCTACCTGCTGGATTAAGGCCCACCCACCCCTCTCCTGCACCAAACTGCTGTAGGCTCTAATGTTTTTTTCCCTTTTTTTTTTTTTTGTACAACAGACTCCAAGACAACACTTCATTCTAGCTATAGGTGGCAAAAGATGTTAGGGCAGGGCATCCAGATGCTTAAAGAGGAATGGAATCAAGGGTTGCCATCGCCTCAGGCACAAGGAACAGCTTATTTTTTGCCAAATTTCTAAATTTCACCTGTGGTGGGGGGGGCGGTGCAGGGTGTTCACTTTTAGCTCCTCCTTTTGTTTCTTCTTGAAGGCCGAATCTTCCTCGCCCACCTCTATGGCCTGCTTCTTGGGCTATTTCAGGGGCCTCCTCTTGCTACCTTCACTGCAGGACACAGCGCCTGCCACAAGGATCTGACTAATTTTAACCCGAGAAAACAGGAAACTGACTTCTTGGGGGGAGAGTAAGACAAACAGGAAAGGGAAAATGAAGACATATGGTTGATACAGATCATTTGATTTCAAAAGGAAAAATAATCTCTTTTGGATAACTAAAAACATTAAAAATTTAGAAGTGCATAGTCCTCGCTGGTTAAATAACTATGCATGCTCATTCTTGTGGCATACATAGTATTTATGAGATATTTTTAGTAAAAAAAAAAAATGTATTGTTATTGAGGTTTGGGTGACATGCTGTTTTCCAAATCAAAAACAGTGTAATGAAAACAATTCCCCAAATGCTGATAAATAATTCACTGAATAGGCAATAATTCACCTTCTAATGACTTCATATGAAGTATAAAGCAGCTTTGATAAATCAAAAGAAATCATGTGGCCGGGCGCTGTGGCTCACGCCTGTAATCCTAGCTCTTGGGAGGCCGAGGCGGGCGGATTGCTCAAGGTCAGGAGTTCAAAACCAGCCTGAGCAAGAGCGAGACCCCGTCTCTACTATAAATAGAAAGAAATTAATTGGCCAACTGATATATATATAAAAAAATTAGCCGGGCATGGTGGCGCATGCCTGTAGTCCCAGCTACTCGGGAGGCTGAGGCAGAAGGATCACTTGAGCCCAGGAGTTTGAGGTTGCTGTGAGCTAGGCTGACGCCACGGCACTCACTCTAGCCTGGACAACAAAGCGAGACTCTGTCTCAAAAAAAAAAAAAAAAAAAAAAAAAAAAATCATGTGTTCCAATATAAAGTAATATGAAAATAAATCCTATTTAATATTTTGCATATACTTTCCAAAAACAGGCTCTATGAGTAAAGAAGTGCACATGAATAAGAAAACAGATCTTATAAGGGTTAAACAAACTCTTTCAGATTTAGTTGTTCAGATTTGCTCTTAATATAAGTAAATGAGAAATTATAACTTTAAACTGAAAAAGCAGAATCAGGGGATTTTGGAACTGGATGGTCCCTTGGAAATCATCTGGATTGAAGCCCTTATTTTATAAATGAAGAAACTGAGAAAATTCAGGCAACATGCCCAAAGGCTTACTAAAAGATATCCGAGTAAATGGCAGTCTGGACTGGAGGTCATGACCCTAATGTCCAGGCTAGATGGTTCCACTGTGCCTCAGTAGCTCCCAGACTGAGACTGGCTGCCTTCACTTTGCCTGCCTTTCCTTCCTTCCTTTGCAGAAATAGAAAACGAAAATGCATAACTGATCATCCCTTAATGGGCTTACAAAATCATTTTTTATTTTATTTATTTTTTTGAGACAGAGTCTCACTTTGTTGCCAGAGCTAGAGTGCCGTGGCGTCAGCCTAGCTCACAGCAACCTCAAACTCCTGGGCTCAAGCGATCCTTCTGCCTCAGCCTCCTGAGTAGCTGGGACTACAGGCACATGCCACCGTGCCCAGCTAATTTTTTCTATAAGAAATCATTTTTTAGAGTATAATGGCACTTGGCAAAAGTTAATGTGGCTAAATAGCAACTCATATTTCAAGAATATATTCAGGAATGATCTTATACTTTGTAGTAAAAACAAAACTCCTTTTCAGAGCAAAAATCATCCCTCTTACAAAAGTATATGCATTTCTTCCAGGAGTACAAAGCTCTTTGGGATTCTACAATTTTAATTCTGTAACAATAAAATACTATAAAAATCTTTTGACTCAGACAAAAAAGCCCCAGGTCATGTCATAGTTCAATGCAACAGAATTGTCTACAGTCTTGGACTCCATGTCCTTACTTCTCACTGACTTGTCAGCTCACTCTAACCTCTTTTTTGCCTCTCTGCTGAAACAGCCTAAGTCAACATCTTTCTCAATAAATCCATTGCTTATTTTTCTGTCCATGTCTAACTTGACTTCTCAGCAGTAGTGTCATACTTGACCACTCTCTCTCTCCTATTCTATTATTGTCCCGGTTTTCCTCCCGTCTCTTTGTTCCTTCTTGGTTTCCTTTTTCAAAATTGTCATTCTCTATTATTACATGCTAGAGTTCCTTGAGGTTCAGGTGTAGACTTTTTATTTCATGCTATCTTCTTCAGCAAGCTTATCTTGGTCTGTTTTTATCCTAATCAAGCATACTGCAATAACTCCGAAGTTTTATCTCCACGCCAACAAAAAATTCCTGAGTTCTAGACCTCTATAGCTGATTACTTAACATCAAGTGGACGTCTCAATAGCAAGATGGCCTTGTATGTACCCATAATCTTCCTCCGCCTCATCTCACTCCTAACCCAGTCTTCTTGCATTTCCACTCAGAGAATGGCAATGTTCTCCATCAAGCTGTGCAAATCAGATCCCTAAGTGTGATTCTTTACCTCACCCCTTACCATGCCTTCCATTTCTATTCTATCTCCAGTTCTGCTCATTCCATCTACTAAATTGTCTTGAGTATCTCCATTTGCCTCACCCACTACGTTTATAAGCTGCCACCATCTCTCACTACAGTTGTCTCCCAACTGGTCTCCTGGCACGGCTCTGGTTCTCCTCCATTAATTTCAAAACGAAGGGGTTGACTGTGACAGTGCTCGCAACATTCCACCTTACTCTTACTAAAGATGCCCAGCATAGCCTACAGGTCCAGGTTCATGTCACACCACGTCTCCCCACCCCCAAATTTAGTCTCTAGACTCCATCCTTTTTGCAGTTCTTTAAAGTCATCATTTCTCCAACCAGTGGGCTTTTTTATGTGTTGTACCCTCTTTTCCAGAATGCAATACCCTTCCTTCGCATAGGTGCCTTCTGTATATCCATCGGATTTCAGCTCAATTTTTCTTCATGGAAACCATCCCCAATTGCCAAACCTGGGGCAGATTCTTTTGTTACATGCTGGCAAAGAACCCTTTAGCATTTTTTATCTGAATTTGTAACAATAAACTCACTCTGTTTAATCAGTCCTATCTTTTCTGCTAGACAAATGTGTTCCTTAGCATCATAGGGGATATAGGACTGTGTCTATATCCAGTGCCTAGTATATAGTATATGCTCAATAAATCTTTCTTGAATGAATGAAATTATCAGTGTCCCTGATGTTAGCAGGTATAATCCAGCTTAATTTTGAAAACATACACAACAGAAAATATCTAATAAATCTGGCCTCCATTCTTTATTTTCAACAGAATCAAAATATAATGCACTCCATTGTTTCAATCAAACTTTCAACCTTTGGCCATTCTGCATACTCATTCACCTAATAGCTATTTATTGATGGATAGGATGTCGAATGCTAGATTAATGCTGCTCTTTGAAACAAAGTTTTAAAAAGAGAAGGCATTAACAGTTTAATAACACCAACGTTTAAAAAGTATTTTTAAAAATGAAACAGGAAAAAGCTTACTTCATTTCACAAAGATTTCTCATCTATGTTATTTTAATTTTAAAAGGGAGATGGAATTCTGGGAGCTGAAGAGGCCAGCGTTAGCATGCATACACACACAGTTACTACCCTTCTTCCATTGGCTCAAATACACAATACAAAAGTAAAAAGAGGTTGTCTTTATTTTTAACAGGTAAAAACTGAAGTTCAGTCATTTAACACAGGATAAAAAACAAGTCTAGTTACATTGATAACAAAAAGACAGCATGTTTTCTTCATCTGCATCTGGTTTGTCTCTGTGCTTGGTCCTGGTCACCAGGCACATTTTTTCCCCAGGAATTTTCTTTGCAATGGGATGATTGTCTTCAGGGCAAAAAAACGTTTATCCGACTCTATTTCTAGCAATACATATTTTATTCATTAACCCTGTCTTGTTCCAGCCATCTTACTGCATTCCTAGAAGTGACATATTTTTCTACAACTCCCTCCCCAAGTTTTATTTACAGTTAAGAATTTGTACATGGCACAAATCAACTCAGCTGCTCTCAGTGCACGGAAGTCAAATAACCCTCACGGTGCTAAAACACTTTTTTCTGGCTTTTGAGAAATAATTATGTTAATTTAAACATACACAGAGAATGTTTCTCAGACAAACATAATACTCAAGGTTTATCTGGCAAAAACGAATTGCTTTGTTACTTCTTAGCACAAGAAAATATACCGAGAAGAACCAAAGAATATTTAAAACAAAAATAGGAAACCACATACATTAATCACACAACAGACTGATTGACAAGTTGAAATTCTTCAAAATAGAGTTTCAGTGAGGCTTCTCATTCCTAACAGTCTAGGAAAAAAAAATCCTAAAAAAACCCAAAAGAGGGTGTGCATGTATGTGTTATTGTGGTAAAAACCATATAACATAAAATTTACCATCTTACTGACAGGTGTATTTTGTATATGTGGCTCTTTGTTTACTTAAGAGTTTTCTCTCTTAAAGTTTATGTAACATTTAGAAAAAGTATTATGTATTACAAGAGGAATGATCTCTCAATGTATTATATGAGATGATCAAGAACTGTTTTTATAAGTCAATCGTCAAAAAGGTGGAAGGCAGAAATATATTTTGCAATTAAATATGTGGCACTATATTTCCTTAAATGGAAATCATGTATTTCCTCTAAATACCCCAATTTTTAGAAATGGTAACTGTAAAAACTCACTGAACTAGTTAATTATTTTTCTACTTCTCTTTCAAATCTTTCCTCGTATTTTTCACCACGTTTCTGCTTACTGTTCAGAAAGCTCCGTGGATGCCTCAAATGCAGGGGTAGGGACTGGTAGCAGGGAGGGGGTATTAAGAAATCACCAATATGAAATGCTCAGAATGGCCAGGAAAATAGTAAGCAGTCTAATACACCTGTTCAATTCCATCTCTTATCTTTTCTTTGAGCCATTTCATCATGGTTTTTGAGCAAAAAAAACATTCTGTTTTTTAACTCTGCATAGGTTCTACAGTTCACTGAAAGCTAAACAACAAGAGAAGACCCATAAAAACTGTAGTTTTTCTGGATAGTATACAACTTCTTACATCAACTTTCTGCTAGAAAAATAGTGCTTTTAGAAATGGATTTGGTCTTATGGTCATCTTCTCTATTATACTTTATAAATAACATTTCATTTCTATAATCAGGAAGTTAAACTAAACCAATTAAAATAAAAATGCTAGATTTAAATTGACTTGAACAGTCTGACCAAAATTATAACAAATCTCACATAGAGAAACCATCTACTAGCAAATACAGAGGTCCTGTGTGTCCGTCCTTAGAAGAGTGTAAACACTGAGAAGCACAATACATTTGTAGCACAATAACAATAATTCCTTTGTCATTATCATAGACCTTAAATTTTTATGTGCTTGGTATAACCAAACCATCCTATATACTTATACAATCATCTTTGTAAAGAAGCATAAACCATTTGGTTTTAGAGAATTAATAGTTTTTAAAAAAGAAGACTTAAAAAAGTCATTTTATGAATAAAATTTCCTTTGTGTTACTTCTTGAAAATCATTCAATGAATTTCACCCTATAATTTTTTTTGAAAATAACTTGCACACGTAACAACACTTTTTAGCTTCTTGAGGCAACATTCTCTTCTCCACAAAAACAGAATTAAGGACGTTGTACCAGTTTGCTCTTGCTTCCTTCCTGTTCACTAAGTTTAAAGTGGGTATAGGCGAGAATGCCAAATAATGTACATAGAATGCCAAGACCCTGATTAACGGACAGTGGATCCTTAAATAAAACGTATCCTCCAAATAAAGTAATGCAGAACTTGAAGTGTCCAAACATGTTATAGCTGAGGTTTTTGGATAAGGATTAAAAGGAATAACAAGATAGTTATATTTACACACACACACACAGAGCAAAGGCTCCCTGTGGCTGCAAAGAACTGCAGGAGACACAGACTGAACAGCAGCCTGCCCTCTGTAAAGAACAGCAACTTCAGTGAAGTGCTGGGACAATCCTAGATTCTTCAGGTAGGTGTTAGTCATTAGTCAGGGATGCGAAACTGCCTCATCTGTTCCTGCTGATCTCTCCAAAAAGAAAAGGTCTGCAATATAAAAGGAAAGACACCCAGAACAAGGTCCAGAGAAGATATTTTGTTCAGCAGTTTGTGATTATGTTTTATAGGGGCAGTTCTAGTAAACTTTCTTTGGCAAATGAGATGAGATGTGTAAGGCACCAGAGAGCTGACTCAGTTTAAACACATCCAGTCCGCTCAAGTTTAGGAGGGAAGAGGGTTGCAAAGCGAGAGGGCTTAACACCAGGCACCAACTACGTGCCAAGCACCTTGAGAGATGCTTTACATGATGCCATCTTATCTCAGCATCGCATTTACCTTCACTGCAGCCTCACTCTTCCTATTTTACAACTGTAGAGGCTCAGGGAGTTTAAGTAACTTGCCCCAGAACACACTCCATTAAGTGGTAGAGTTGGAGCCCCAACATAGATCATGTTTAGTTTATGATTTTTTAAAGATACTTATACTAGAGGGAAGGCAATTTTAAAGAAACTCTTCATGAGTTTTTAAATTAAACCCTTTTATAAATTAAAAACAAAACAACAGTCTATACATGGTATTTCCAACTCCTCTCTCCAGTTCTCACTCTGCTCCAGGCTGGCTGTTGCCCTCACTCCCGAACCCTCCCACCCCAGAATTTTCTCATCAAACCACCAGTGCCCTCCACCTCACTGATGCCCTTCATCGGCTACCAGCCTCCCGTACCGGCCCTGCCAGTGGCACCTAACACAGCTGTTCCACCCTCCCTCCTCACCTGGATTCTACATCACTCCCCTCCTCCTCCCACTCCTCATTGCTGCTCCTCCACCTTTTTCACCCAGCCCCTCTTGTTTCTCTGAACTCCAAACACTGGAAGTCACCCAGGACTCAGTCTTTGGACATCTTTTCTTCTACTTGTTTGCTTGGTAATCTGAATCAGACTCACCACTTTAAACCACATCTACATACTGCTGGGTTCTCTGGAATAGCTCTAGTTGAGACCTCACCCCTGAACCCTCAGACTTATCCAAAACTGAGCACCTGGTCTTCCTCCCATCCCCAAACCTCCTCTGGGATGTCCTACCTCAATTGGTGACAACCCTATTCACTAGGTTTTTCCTCAGATCAAAAACCATGTGAGTCATCCTAGTTTTCTCTCTTACTTTCCACATCCAACTGATCAGCAAAACCTATTGGCTCTACTTGGAAATACATCCAGAATCCATTCCCTTCTTCCTATACCCACTTTTACCATCCTGTAATGAACCACCATTATTTCCAAATCAGAATGTTTCCGTGGCCTTCCAACAGTCTCCCATGCCTCTTTTCATCCAGGAGTTCTTAACCATGGGTCACTTTGTCACAAAGGCAACGTCTGGAGACATTTTTGGTTGCCACAGTTGGGGAAAGGGTATGCACTGGCACCTAGTGGCCGAGGCCAGGCACGCTGCTAAACATCCTACAGTGCGCTGGGCAGGCCTCCACAAACAGCTGCCTGGCTCAAAAGGTCAACGGCACTGAGGCTGAGAATCCTGCTATAGTTTATTCTCAACACAGAAGCTCTGAGTGATTCCACTAGAATGTAAGTAAAAGCATGCCACTTCTCTGCTCAAAACTCCAGCCGCTTCCCATCTCACTCAGCACAGTCGTCCTTATGTAAAAGCTCTACTCAGCCTGCTTCCTTGTTACCTCCTGGTCTACTACATCCCTTCCTTTGCTCATCCTGTTCCCACCACATGGCCTTCCCTGTTGCTCCTTGGGGCCTCTCTCTCACTGCTGTCGCCTCTGCCGGGAACGTCCTTCCCTCTGGCCTGCACAGAGCAGCCTCATTTCCTTCAGTCTTCACCCAAAAGTCACCTTCCTGTTGAGGCCTTCCTCACTATCTTACCTAAAATCCCAACTCCGTCCCCAACATTTCCCATTCCCTTTCCTGCTTCATTTTTTCTCCTTGGCATTTAACACTACTCAACACTCTATAAAGTATATAAATCCTTTTAAAGTTTCCTTCTTTATAGTCTGTCTTCCTCACCAGAATTTAAGCTTGTGAGGGCAAAGATTTTTGTCTGTTTGGTTCACTACTGTGTCCCCAGTGCCTGACACATAAATATTTTAAAGTCAATGAGTGGTTTCTAGTGGGTATTCAATAAATATTTGTTGGATGAATGAATGTTTTTAGTCAGGGCACATACTTGGATGCCTTGATTTGGCAGCATGATGCACAAGTTCTGGAACTAGACTACATGGATTCAAATGTGAATACCATACTTCTCATCTGTGTGTGGTCTTAAGTCAGTTATTAATATTTAACCTATCTGTACCTCCATTTACTCTTCTCTAAAATAAAATAATACAACTTTACCTCACAGAGCTGCTGTGAGAATTAAATACACACAGAATGTTTCTAACAGTACATGGCACAAAATAAATATTTATTAAATGATGGCTTTAAAAAATTATTAAATATCACCATTGTTATTTGATAGTTGGCAAATATGATACTTATTTACTTTGTTGACATCTCAGTATTCACTCATTTATATAAGTCAGTACTCTATGAGAAAATATCACTGAGCTACCTCTCTGATTTGGGGAAATTCATTCTTTGCATTTGCCTAATGGTGGGGGCAGAGTGAAACACGAAGAGAAACTGACAAGTAGAATGATAAAAATGGCAGTTGAATTTGATCTTCAACATATGACTTCATTTCGTGATTTGAAATAATATTGAGACAAACATATCCAAATAAGTAGTACAAAGACATACTCCAAAGTCAGATGCCAGTGGTCTGAAATTATCTTTTGTTATGCGGATTAACCACACCTCTACTTTGTTACTATAAATACCTGAAAATCTATTGAAAACTCAAACCTCCACCTCACTATTTAATCAACAAATATTTAATCTCACAATATGTAAGGAATGGTACTCTAAGTTAATTTTTATAAGGGAAGAGGCCACCTATTACTTAAGAAAATTCAAAACCATTCACAATACAGAAAGCTAACTCATTTGCTTAGTTTATATTTCTTTAAAATTCTATGGTCTCTAGTGTGGGCAGATACAACAAAAGACTAAAAATAACTCATCTCTACTTAATTTAGGCCATGCAATAGTTAGTGTGAGACTCCATTAAGGTAAGCAATGAGTGTGACAGTCTTGGAAAATATAAGACAATGCATTTATAAGTTATTATCAAAAGGATACGTGACAGGTGAAGTGTTCCCAATGATCCAATAAATTGATAAGTTTACCATGAAAGCTATCACTCCAGATAGCAGCACCATAAGCTACAAATAAATCAAAAGAATCATTAATGCAAAGCACTGCAATCATTATAATCATGTTAATTTCATTAGGAAGTTTTAAAAACTCAAATATCAACCATTAAAAATAAGATTAGAAATAAGGCCAGGCGCGGTGGCTCACGCCTGTAATCCTAGCACTCTGGGAGGCTGAGGCGGGTGGATTGCTCGAGGTCAGGAGTTCGAAACCAGCCTGAGCAAGAGCGAGACCCTGTCTCTACCATAAATAGAAAGAAATTAATTGCCCAACTAATATATATAGAAAAAATTAGCCAGGCATGGTGGCGCATGCCTGTAATCCCACCCACTTGGGAGGCTGAGGCAGCAGGACTGCTTGAGCCCAGGAGTTTGAGTTGCTGTGAGCTAGGCTGATGCCACGCTCTACTGGCGGAACAAAGCAAGACTCTGTCTCAAAAAAAAAAAAAAAAAGAAATAGAGTCAATTTGGGAGATAGCAAAATTGAAGGTAAAAAAGCAGAATAGTGTTCAGAAATGTAATTCTGTCCACGAGAATAATGGAAAATTCTACAATAATATCCCTTCTCTGAATGTGAATTTTCAGGTTCATTTTTCTTATTTCTCTGAGGAAAAATATTTTGTATTTATTATAAAATACATACACATTATAGAAAAATCAGACAATAAAGATAAGCAAGAAGAACATAAGGAAGTCTTATAATCCCATCCACCCACCCACACATTAACATCTTGGCATATATCCTTCCTGATCTTTTTCTATTGAATTGCTCATTTTTATTCTTATTTAAATCAAATCGATAAACATTCATTGCATATTAGGCCAGGCCTTGTGAAGAACACAATATGGGCAAAGCTGCTGCCCTTAAAGAGCTTAGAACATAATAAAAATCATAGTAATCATAGCTTACACTTACATTAACACTTTCAGTGCGCCAAGAATTGTTCTAAATGTTTTACATGTATTGACTCATTTAATCCTCACAAACACCCATGAAGTGTAAAAACATTAAATATTATTCCTTTTTAACAGATAGAGAGCATAGAGAGATAAAGTGATTTGCCTAAGATCACACAGCTAGTAACCGGCAGCGCTGGGATTTAAGCCCAGGCAGTCTGGTTCTAGAGTCCCTGCTCTTAATCCACTCTGCTAGGCTACCTCTCACTCACATGAAGGGCAGAGTGCAATGAGATTTACAGCTCAGGCAGTCTAAGAAACTGAGTCTTGAATTCTACATTATTAGTAAGCAAACAGACGACAGGTTCCCTACATATCTCACAGCGGAAAAGATCACTGTGGGCTGGGCTAGGGAGAAAAGTCTTTGGATCTCACAAAGTATGTACAGATTAAAGAAAGAAGTGGGGTAAGATCCAGGCAGAGGGAACAACAAAGGGCAAAGCACGGAGGCATGAAAGTAACAAGGTGTGTTCATGGTACAGGAACAAACCAACTTGGCTGAGGACGGGGGATAAATGGGTCATACTCATTTAAACCTATCCCATAATTTTATTCAAAAAGTTGCAAAATCATATTCTATTTCTGAAGAGAATTTAGATAAAATGCTAGTCATGATTTAAATTATTAAGACGTTTAGGCACCAAAGAAAACATGTCATCTTTAAAGATCCTTTCTTGTCTCATGTGGGTTTTATCAGATTTCAAATCAGTACAGTCAATAAAAGGACCAGAGCAGGTCGATCTGTGTCCTGTTTAGGTAAATACAGTTATACCTCATCTGATTTACAACTGCAAGGTCTGTTACATACTCAACCGAGAGAAACTTGCTCCTTTAAAATTTTTAAAACTGTCTAGAAATTTATCTAAAATTTATCATTTTTAATTTTATTGCGTTCACAGAACGTTATATACCTATTACTTGATGACTTGGCACATCCTTGAAAACACAATTACATGCTCTACTTTGAGTCGAGGATGCCCCCTAGGGACATTAAGGAATGAAGGTGACTCTCCCTCAAACTAAATGGCCTCAGCCTGTTAGCTTCTTTAACTTTATTATGTCCTTTCTACTGCCTTCCGCTTTTTTTTTTTTTTATTTTCTGCTTATTTTTTTTCTTTGTTCTTTTTGTGATCACTATATACAACCCGAATGCCTTCCCCCCTTTTTTTTTTTTTTTGAGACAGAGTCTCGCTTTGTTGCCCAGGCTAGAGTGAGTGCCGTGGCGTCAGCCTAGCTCACAGCAACCTCAAACTCCTGGGCTCGAGTGATCCTTCTGCCTCAGCCTCCCGGGTAGCTGGGACTACAGGCATGCGCCACCATGCCCGGCTAATTTTTTATATATATATCAGTTGGCCAATTAATTTCTTTCTATTTATAGTAGAGACAGGGTCTCGCTCTTGCTCAGGCTGGTTTCGAACTCCTGACCTTGAGCAATCCGCCCGCCTCGGCCTCCCAAGAGCTAGGATTACAGGCGTGAGCCACAGCGCCCGGCCTGCCTTCCCCTTTTTTAAACCTGTTAGAGAGCTACCACAGAAACCTCCGCTCCTTCTAGCTTAAGGTCTCCAAGCTGCAATGCTCTGAAGACCAGATAACCAAGATAGCTAGAACTTTTTAAAAGAGGAAGTATTATCTGAGAGATGGTCCAGCGATTTCCACTTCAGAAAAGAACATATATGATAAAGCATATTAATTTGCAATAACTATCAGTGTACTTATGGGCAGCATAGCAGAGTGCTTAAAAATATGGACTTCGGGCCAGGTGCAGTGGCTCACGCCTGTAATCCTAGCACTCTGGGAGGCCGAGTCAGGACGACTGTTTGAGGCCAGGAGTTTGAGACAAGCCTGGGCAACATAGTGAGACACTGTGTCTACAAACAATTTTTAAATTAGCCAGACATGGTGGTATGTGCCTGTAGTCCCAGTTACTTGGGAGGCTGAGGCAGGAGGATTGCTTGAACCCAGGAGTTGGAGGTTGCAGTGAGCTATGATCGAGCTACTGCACTTCAGTCTGGGTGACAGAGCAAGATCCTCTCTCAAAAACAAAAACCATTACCAACACAAAAGACATTCCCATTGACTGTGCTCCAAGAGTTAAATTTGTGGGAAGCAGAAATTCCTGATAAGTAATGCGTTATGGACTTAATGCTTGTGTCCTACCAAAATTCGTATGTTGAAGCCCTAACCTCCAATGTGATGATATTAGGAGATGGACCTTTGGTAGGGGGTGACTAGGTCCTAGGGTAGAGCCCTCATGGGATTAGTGTCCTTTAAGAAGAGACAAGCAAGGAATTGCTTTTCTTCTCTCCCCCCCTGCCAGGTAAGGAAACAAGAAGACTGAATGTCTTTCAAGAAGATTGCCATCTGTAGCCCAGGTTGGATTTACCAAGAACCCAACCAGGCTGGCACCCTATCTCAGACTTTTAGACACCAAACTCTTGAGAAATAAATGTCTGTTGTTTCTGCTCTTACCATCCAATCCATGATATTTCTGTTATAGCAGTCTGAACCGACTAAGACATAGGGGATTATCTAACTTAATATATCCCCAAAATACATATACCTTTGATCTGCCAATCCTGGGACTCTATTCCAAAGAAAAACAAGAAAAAAGTTTTCTTGCACCTGAGAACTCGTGTATAAGAATGTTCATCACAACATTGTTCACTGTGGTTAAGAACTGGGAAAAAAGTGAAAACCCCAAAGGGATTATTATACACACACTGAAAAGAATGATTTGAAGACATTTTCATGAGATATTATTGAGAAAAGCAATATACAGAAAAGCATGTGTAACATGATTCTGCTTTTATCAAAGAAATATTTTTAAATTTATGTATATATGTGTTTACAGGGGTATATAAAGCATGGAGAAAAATATGGAAGAACATACACAACTTACATCAAGGGCATGGATGGGGTAATGGGAAGTGAGTATGGCTAGGAAAGCCAGAGAAAAGGAATCCTCAATAAAGACAGCATATATGATTTGATTCCATTACATAAAATTATACACACAGATGCACATGTGTCTGTTTTTAGGTTATTAAGTATGAAATACCTGATTTCCTTAAGGACTAAGTGTGACAGTTGATATCTCTGACATTTCACTTTGACATTTGTTTTACGTTTACCATGAAGGTACTTCCTCAGTCTTTCAAATGCATGGTTTGGTTTGTGATTATCTTTCAAAGTATTTTTTAGAGCAATTTTTTGTGAAACCATGGATAAAAAAAATTCGTGTTATTTTCAAATGAGTTTCTTCGTGGAACCAATGCAGAGCAGACAGCTCAAAATATCAACGAAGTATTTGGGACGGATGTGACTAACAAACACACAGCATGTCGATGGTTTGAGAAGATCAGTTCTGGTGATTTTAATCCTGAAAATGAGCCATGTGGGTGACTTCAGACCAAGGTGGATAATTATGAGCTGAAAGCTATAGCAGAAGTGAGTCCATCTCAACCTACGTGTGAATTAGCAGCAAGGTTTGACGTCACTATTCCAACAATTTGGACCATTTGAAACAAATAGGCAAAATAAAGAAGCTGGATAGATGGATACTGCATGAATTAAGTAAACATCAGAAGAAAAATTGTCTCGAAGTTTGCCTTTACTTGCCGTCATGAGATAAAGATGAACCATTTCTATACCATATTGTTAAATGTGATGAAAAATGGATTCTTTTTGACAGTCACAAGCGTTTGGCACAATGGTTGGATAAAGATGAAGTGCTGAAATGGTCCCAAACCAAATATTCATCAGAAAAAACTAACAGTGTCTGTCTGCTGGTCCAGAGCTGGATTATCCACTACAGCTTCATGACACCTGGTCAATTGATTCAAGTGGATGTCTACTGCAACCAGTTGGATGAAATGATGAGGATGCTTGTGATTAGTAGCCAAGACTGGTCAACAGAGACAGGCCAATCTTCTTGCAAGAGAATGCTCAACCACATGTCGCACAAACATCCTGCTCAAACTCCAGAAGCTACACTTGGAAACTCTCTGTCATCCACTATATGCACCAGCCCTTGCACCAACTGACTACCACTTCTTCCAGGCTTTAGACCACTTTTCTTTTCTTTTTTTTTTTTCTGAGATAAGAGTCTCGCTCTGCTGCCCGGCATAGAATGCCGTGGCATCAGCCTACCTCACAGCAACCTCAAACTCCTGGGCTCAAGATCCTTTTGCTTCAGCCTCCTGAGTAGCTGGAATTACAGCCACACGCCAGCATGCCCAGCTAATTTTTCCTATTTTTAGTAGAGATGGGGTCTCACTCTTACTCAGGCTGGTCTCAAACTCTTGAGCTGAAGTGATCCTCCTGCCTCGGCCTCCCAAAGTGCTAGGATTACAGGTGTGAGCCACTGTACCCAGCCTAGACTGTTTCTAGCAAGGAAAAATATTCAATTCTCAACAAGCTGTGGGAAACACCTTTTGCAATTTCATCACCACTCACTCTTCACGCTTCTTTGCTGCTGGCATAAACAAGCTACCATTAAGATGGCAAAACTGTGTTGATAGTTTAGGTAGATATTTTGATTAATTGTATTGCTTCTTGTTTGAGAAATAATAAACTAAACTTTTGATTTGAAATTGGACATTTCATATTTAATGACCTAATATAAAAGAGATCCATAAAATGAGCATCACCAAATTGTAAAGGTGATTTTCTTAGTGTGGTAGGATTCCAGGGGCCCTTCACTTTCTATTTTTATTTATGTTCAAAATCTATATAATGAACATGTAATATTTGTATATATTTTTTAAAAACCAATAATATATTTTCACTGCAAAAAAAATTAAAGAAATGTTCAAATTATTCACGGGCTATAGCTTGGCATGATCAGAAGAGTAAGCAGACATCAGAAGACCTGAACTGTTAGTTCTGGTTTTGCCATTGACTAGATGTCCTAACCCTGCAAGTCCTTTCACCTTTCTATGCCTCAGTTTCTTCATCGGAAAAACATTCCTTACCTTGCTTTCCTTAAAGGGTGATTATGAAGAATAAATGTGAGAATAAATCTGAGATACTGAGATAGTACTTTGAAAATTTAAAATTGCATTAATAGTGGAGCAATTATTATTACACTGTTTCTTAGATACCAAACAATCAGAACTTACCAAAGCAGAAACTGACCAGGGACCAAATATTCCCCCTTCTCCAAACATTGGCTCAAAGAAGGGCACAGTGACCAGCAACATGGCAGATGACATCGGGGCCTGGTAGTACAGCAGCTGCATTGAGTTCACTTGCAATTCGTGCTGTTTGGCTCCTACCCACTGAAAATCACAATGAAACAAGCCAGGAACAAAAGAAATAACATCACTTAATAAAAGATGCAACTCTAGCCACAAAGATGGGAACGTGGGGGCAGGCTGGGGGAAGAGGAAACGCCTAATTATTCTACAGGATTTCAAAGATCAATAAGATACATGAATGTACTTTTAAGCACCTTGGCTGAAAGGAGCTCTATAAATTCAATTTCTGATTAATCTATTTTCTTCTCAATTCCTTAGAAAGGAAAGAAAAATCCTCTTTTCCCTCCTTCCTGATGCTAGTAAATATGGGGCCCACAAGCATCATAGATCTTGGGAAAATAAAGCAGAAACGGAAATTTAGGAAATATAGGAATAAAGATGTGAGATTTCATTTCTTTCTAAAAATGGCCAAAAAAAAAAAGGAAGATGCAGGGCAGGCCATGGGCCACAGGGCAGGACAATGATAGGGCAGGTTAGAGATTGACAGATGGACCATAACAGTTATCCCAGGTGGCTGCAAAGGTGTGTGGCTTGAAAGGCACATGGTCTGTTCGGTTCTTTAGAAAATCCAATCAATGGTAGAAGAAATTTTCCTCTCTATGGAAGATTTTCTGTGGGTAGTATTCCCCATCCCCCACCAAATACACCTAAATATGTTAGATAATCATAAACCCTAAAATACTGTACCATTCAGTAGAAACAACATTTCAAAACCTCATATAGCATCATTCCTCAAAATGCTTCATAAATATGACTAAAAAGGAAACTTTGAGGAAACCTTAGTAGGACTGTTTGAATAAGATCTGGCAAGAACAGCCAGGCTTTTGACTCACTTCTACACGCCTCTTGTTCCTGTAGGTCTGGATATCCTGTTACATAAACTCTTAAGTCTATAGAAATTCACCAAGACAAAAATAGAAGAGCAGGAAATCTGAACTGCACTTCTGCCAGCCATAACTGAGAGTCTTCTGTGAATATGAAGGACAAAGAATTGATTCTTCTGCTGCCTACTCCTAGGGGCACTGCGGTGAGCAAAAACCACGCAAAAAGCGTGTGCTCGGCCCTCCTCCCCTGCAGGCCTGTCACTAGGAGGCTGTGTGCCTCTGCCACAGAACTGCCTGGCATGGAGGGGACTCCTGGGTCTTAGCTGTCCCTTCCTGGCTGCCTCCCCTCTAATGCTCTCCTAAAGGAACCATTACCTCCAGTGGCCACAACCAAAGGGTTTTCCACGTGGCCTCCTTCCTGCTGGACTTCTCTGCAGAACCTGTGAATTTCTCTTGGAAGAACTGCCTTCTGGTGTGCACTCCTTCCTCACCGCCTCCTTCACTCACTGTTAAGATAGATGTCTCCCTTCCTCTTTCATCTCCCTGACTGACCTCTTTTACTATCTGCCAACATGTGCAGCTCTGACCTTCTTCCCTGAGCATTCTTAACCTCACATCTTCAACAGCCTCCTGGCAATCTTCACTTAGATCATCTGCAGGAACTTGTTGGAAATCAAGCTCATGACTTCCTTCCACGAATAGTTGCTCCAAGATGAATGATATAATCTCTACCAAGGATCAGACTCCTTACTTTCTCACTCTCACATTCAGTCAGGTCCCACTGATTCCTCCTCCAAAGGGCCTCCAGAATGTCTTTTCCCCTTTCCCCATCCACGCCGGCTGCCCTAGCCCAGCCCTTCCCCCTGCCCCTAGAAGCTCGGATGGGCTCCTGACTGCTCTGCCTTCACCCTTTCTTCCCTCTCACACCCACTCTTCACTGCCACCAGTTCTTTTTCTCAAGCACAGGGAATGATCAAGTCATTCTCCTATCTGAACTCCTTTCCTGGTGCCTGCAGGATAACGACACACTTCCTTGGCAAGGCATTCAAGATTCTGCCATCTGGTCTTGCCCACTCTTCAGCCTGTGTAGCCATAATGCACCCACAGTCTAGCCACATCAGACAAATCGAGTTCTTCAAAATGCTCACGTAACACAAGGAAAGACCTGCAATATTTCACTGCCAAGGGAATGCCTGTGCATCCTTCAATTTAAATTAACTTTTCCCTAAACTCTTACCTCGCCACCTGTCTCATAGAGCTGCCACTTCCTCATTGGTGTTCCTCAAAACTTTTCCTCGTTCCTCAAAACTTTTCCTCGTACCCTGAGGTACGAATACTACTGTGACTAGCAGTATACACAAGCTTCTACGATGTTGGATTGTAGCTGCTTTTCACCTATGTTCTCAAGCATGAGCATGAAACAGAAAAGACTGCTGAATGCATGACTCAACCATCTTGCCACAACTAAAGCTAAAAACTGATCGCTCATCTTCTAACTCCTTTTAGTATCCCCAGCAGTATAAGAAAAATAACTTAGAAATTATACCCAGATGCAATGGACAGATACAACTTCCTTTCAAAATAATTTTTGGGGAATACACTTACTTTGCAATAGTACTTTACCATTTACTGATAATGGAAACATTGTCCATTAGTCTATAATCATTTCTTGGTCAATCTTACTTCAAATAACTACCCTAGGATATAGAATCCTTTGATTCTAATCTAGAGCAATTTGAGATTTGTGTGGACAAAAATAGTAATATTGACATGGACAGTGAGTATTCTTAATTGAAATTATGTATAAGAAGTACAAGAAATTATAATATTCAATAATAAAATTTCTTCCTGTATTTAATAAATGTTTAGCCCACACTAGACAAAAAAGTGCATTTAACAAAAAATGTAAATAGGACTGTTCACTTACTTTATATAGTAATAAAATTTAAACACACTGAAGTAGAACCGAAATATAATTTTTTTAAAGCACAAAGTTGAGCTTCCTGATTACTCTGTAGTAAAAGACAGATTATTATGGCAGCAACTAATAAGACTGAGTAGGAGCTCCACCCTCTTATGCTACTTTCTTCTTTTATTTAAATTGCTTCTCTGCCACTAAAAAATGTATTTGCAGTATTTTTTCATAAGAATCTTTCTGACATGATCACCTATCAGAAAGTTTAAGATGCTAGGGCTGTATTACTGAACTCTTACATTCCCAACAAGAATGCCTTAGTTTATAACCAGTGGATGTTTGTGAAAAAAGTAAAATTTGTTAAACATTTTGGCTAATTCCCCATGCAGGCACACCCAGAATTTCCAGACCAAGGTTTCCAGTATAGAGAGAATACTGTTTCACTGTACCCTACACCAAGTTATTTTTTCTCCACTATATAAGAACAAAAAACATATCTGTTGGGATTTCATGGTAATGAAGTGAATCCACGAACAAACTTTTAATGAATGCCTGCTATAGGCAAGGCACTGTGCTTGCACAGGAAGTGAAATACCCATTGGTATAAATTATTGATATAAACAAATTATTAAAAGCCAATATAAGTTGTAACAGCAGTGTATTTTTTGAGGAAAAAAAAAATCTACAAATCTGGAAGTTTCCTTTCCTGTTCAAATTTCTGGAAATGTACTCATTCATTCACAGCAATGCTATAATTAAAGAGTAAATGATAAATATACTCAATAAACTTAGGAAGTAAAGACTCCCCAGAAAATAACATAACTTCACCCCAGACTCAGACTGTTAAGCATGGGTATTATACACTTACAAACAGGATTTGGAGAGCATCATACACCCAAGTTTCTGTCTCCTTTCTTCTCTTCACCTTGAGTCAGACAATTTATGCAATTATGCTTTCTTCCCAACAGTCTATTGTCTCTATACTGTATTTTCTAAACCTTGGGATACAGCTTCAAAATTTATGAAATCTGCTAAAAAGGCACATAAAGAAAAAAAATTACCAACCACTTGATAAAGGGATGTAACTAAAACACCAAGAGCAGCAAACACCATTCCAAGGAAATTAAACTTCACATCGTAATAAGAATTTAGGATTACACCTAAAGTTATAGGAATCTGTAAAGAAAAAGAGGTAAATGTTGTTCAGATTAAATTCAACAAACATAAATTTAGTATTCCTTTTAGTGTGTCTTACAAGGCAAATCATAAACACATAAGTGAGAAACAATGAACCTGTATAAACGTTTTCTTTTCTCATTTTAGAAAACTAATTTTAATCCTATTTCTTAAACGTGAAATATGATCACTCTATATTGATGCTCACATTTAATTCTTTTTTAAATTTGTGGTAAATGCATTTTGCACTTTGCAAGAAAATACCACATGCATACACAGATGAGTAAATGGACCCCAAAACTAGTGTCTAAACAATATATAAGCATAAACATATAACAAAAGCATAATTATCTTAAACATTATAAGTCACTAAGTGCTAAATTTTTTTGTCTCCTTTTATTGTATGCAGATACCTCTGCAGTATGTCGCTGCACACACTCTGAGACATATTTTATGCTAAACCTTTCGTTAAATATACACTGTTTGATTCCCCTGGTGAAGGAGGGCTGTTTTTCAGTTTGAGCGTCTGCAGATATTCTGATATACTGGACTGCACTACTCAATACACCTTTCTTTCCTTACCAATCACAGCGTTATAAAGATTTCCACCAAACGGTGGTTATTATTAATAAAGCTCTCATAAGCACACTCTTTGGGGCTGAGAGCCCAATAGAATGCCAAGATGTCTTTTTACCCTCCTCCCCCCAAAAGCTCGACGTTCACAGGCGCACAGATGACTCATTTGCGGATTTCAAGACGATGGGGAAAGAGGGTGGCGCAAGGTTAAACAACGAGCATTCAAATTTCCCGGGGAGAAAGGCGGTCCGGGAGGTGAGTCGTTAGAGTCGGGAAGCTCAGCTACTCACCAGCGTGAGCTGTATTCTGGTGGAGAAGGTTTTCTGGTAGCAGAAGGTCTGGATGGCTATGATCACCGGCGTGGTCATGGCCTTGGCCAGCTGGTAGGTGCCGATGGTGTTGTTCTGCAGGGAAAGATTGGTGAAGACCACAAAGCCGCAGAAGCTGAGGGCCAGGAGGAGGAGCTTGGAGGGCGGCAGACTTTTGGGGGCAAAGATATCCAGTTTCTGGCAGATGTACAAGCCCAGCCAGGTGACCACGAAATGCACCAGGGTCAGGCTCATGTTGGGGAAGCCGTGATGCACGTAGATCCACTTGTTGAGGAACACGATGCAGATGGACACCAGCAGGTTGAACAGGAGCCCGGCGGCTATTCGCCCGCTGCCCCGTACTCGGTCCGCCAGAGATGCCATGATCCCCGCCGCCCGCCGCGCTGCGACCCCAGCGAAGCCGGGGCCGTCCGGCCTCCGAGAGGGGTGCCCGGCCTGTCTCCGCCTGCCCTTGTCCTCCACCGCCGCGTCCTCAGAGTTTGGCCGGAGACAGGCATGCACGGGTGCGGCGCCAGGCGAGCAGCAGCCTCAGCAGCGCACACATGCTCCGCAGCCGCCGCCCTTTAAGCCGGTGAGGACGCGGCACGGCGTCCCGCGCCCCGCCCCATCGCCGCCCACGGCCACGTGACTCGGGGCGCCCTCGCTTCCGCCCGGGAGCCGCGGGCTGAGCCGCGTCTGCCTTGCGCAGGCGCGTCGGGCGATGGGCGCGGAACGCTGCTTCCTTGATTCCCACCGTCTGGGTTCCCCTGCCCTCTTAGTCTTAGCTACCTAGCATCTCAACCTGGCTAGGCCTATCTGAGACCCCTCTCTTGATGTTTATTTCCTGTGTGTCACTTGGCCCGACTTGCTAGGCAGCTTCTCTCAAGTTTGTGGAGTGGGCTGTGCAGATGCTGTTGGACGATTTTACGTATGAGACAGATGCTGAGCAAATTTTAGTACTTGCCAGAAATGGGAAAGCATTACTTACTGAAGGCATATTTTCAATTTGTTTTATTTTTGGAAAGAAACACTAAAATTTTGTTTTCCAGCAGACAGCAGCAGCTGGTACAGTTACAAGGGTTTCTCTGTAGATCATACCTTAACAGGGCATGATTAGTTCAACAGTGAGAAAGCCACTTGTGTGTAACAATATCCACATGACTCTGTAAAAACATCCACACGACAGTGTAAACAGGTACTGTTATTGTGTTCTCTTACAACCCCAGAAGGAAAGGCACAATTTGGCAAAAAAAAAAAAAAAAAATTGGGGGGTCTTAAAGTCAGGTGCAATGACTAAGATACAAAACTCTGGGTAACAGTCTTGATGCACACTACAATAAGGGCTTTCAACATAGAGGGAAAAGACTTCTCCATCCAGAAGTTAAGGTCTTTCTCCTTCCTCATTAAACTGCTAGAGCAACATTTCATCATTTGCTCGATGTTATTACATGTACAAAATAGGATTTTAAAAAGGACTCAAAAACATCTTGAATGTCCAGCTGGTCCCACCAATACATCAATTCTTAGGTTTATAACATGGCCTGAGAATACTTCAGTGGTCAGAAAATGGAAGACTAGAGACTCTGGCTACAAAAATTAAAAAAAAATAAATAAAGTAGCTGGATGCTGTGTATCCCAGCTACTCAGGAGGCTGAGGCAGGACGATCCCTTGAGCCCAAAAGTTCCAGGCCAGTCTGGGTAACATAATGAAAACCTGTCTCCTAAATAAATAAATTTTAAACGTTTACACCCAGGATTTGCCTGTTCCAACTTTGTAGCTTTCAGGCAATACTCAGGATAAAAATCTTCATAATTACTTGGCATAAGTTACACCAAGAAAATATTTTTAAATTGGTATTTTAAAAAATACTAATGTGAACCTGTGATAGGAGACACACCCTTCCATAAATTTCTTCTCTAGAATGAAAAATAAAATGCAGTTCTTCAATACAGTAGGCACTGGTGAGCCAAATTAAGTCACCTGAGATTTCCCACTCCGGCGCCCACAACTTCTGGTGTTCAGGAAGACACAAAGGCATCTGGGAGGTGTGGGGAGTACTTTGGCACTCTTGGGGCTCCAATCGAGCTGTATTTAAACAAGCAGCAACATAAACATTGACTCCCTAAAGACTAAAATAAGTCCTTTGGAGGGCATCCTATTTAAGGTTCTATGGTTGAAAGAATTTTGTAACTCTACAACCTTAATTTTTTGTTGTTTTTTTAAAGTACATTCAAGAAACAAAGCAAAAAAAAAAAAAAAAAGATGGGTACAGTGTCGGGACATATAAAACAAGTCCCTAAAATAGATGGCAGTCCTTGTCCATTTACCCGCATATAGGTACCACGGAAGAATACAGTACCTCTCCTTTCCAATTAAGGCTAAGTAGTTTTCTTTTCCACTGTGGTTCAATATATAGGTGACGGTCTTTGGAAATAGTCAGTCTAGGTTATACAAAGTTTCTACAAAAGTAACAAAGCTACTTGCTTCTTTTGAAACTTTAAAATTCTAGTCTTTATTTATTTTGGTGTAAATTGTTTTCTTTCTTTTTCACAAAGTAGAATAGCAACAATTGCCATCATAGGGCTGCCTGAATTGTAAACATCATTTGCATATCAGTAAGAAAAAAGAAGAGATGAATTCTTTAAAAAGCAAAAAAGGGCACAGAATCTAGAGATTTCACTCTGCATTTCTCCCTCCATGCATATTCTCCTTTAGATTAGCTGACTGCAATATTATTTTCTTCAAGGAAGTGAGGGAACTGGTGTTTGGGAACACTGTCAATAATGCTTGATTTTTCCACATCACCACTGATGTTATTGGGAGCCATCCATCTTGGACACAGTGGCATTATTCACAACAAAGTTGGTCTCCAGGGAAACCAGGAGGGTGGGAACACAGCTGCTCTGGAGTACAGAGATCTCTTTGGTTTTCAGATCCAAACCACCTGTGAGCATGCCAGTGTACTGGTTCCACGTGACAGGGGCCACGGTCACCAAAATGGCCAGGATTTCTGTCTGTACCTAACAGAGCCACGGTGTTATCAATGGTGGGCTTCCTTCCATGGCATGCTGAGTATTGTTTGCCCCATGTGCCATCCAGTGGGCCTTCAAGCTGCCTTTGGTGGTGCAAGTGTGCCCATGTGTTGCACACAAAAGGCCCCTCTCCAGTGTGAGCCTGCTCGTGAATCTGAAGAGTTTTCCTACATCATGTGCAGCCACACTGCTTGGCCTGTCGGGGAGGCTGGGCCACTAACAAAGGTGTCATGCCCTGGGACAGGGTTGAGGGTCCTACAAACGTGCTAGGAACTTTAGCTTTGACATAGTTGGCTGGGTTCAGATGAACGTTCATGGGAGACTGCTCCGGCCACCCATCTCAGTGCAGATACTTTTGGAGGTCTCAGCTTTGCCCCTAGCATTGGGAGACTTTGACTTGATGCTTTCTGCTTGGCTGTTGGCTGGGGAGGGTGCCTGCAAGGACATGCTTCCCACAGTGTCTGGACTTTGGTTCTGCTACTCCTGGTATCCCATCAGTGAGAGTGAGTTGTTGGTTAAATCAGTGCTCTCTACTGAACCATTTCCTTGGCTGCTCTGGCACTGTAGGCCTAAAGGGACAGGACCCACTTTCTCTGGGGCATCTGGGGAAGCAAGCACGGGAAAACCTACAGTGGCTGATGCCAAGTGGATGCTGAGAATTGACGTGAGGACCTTTGAAGAGCTACTGGGGCATCCTAGAAGCTGACTTCAGATACATCAGTCTTTCAATATCATCATCTATTTTTCTGTAGAGACAAGATCTTGCTCTGTTACTAAAGCTGGTCTTCCTGGCCTCAAGTGATCTTCCAGCCTTGGCTTCCCAAAGTGCTGGGATTACAGGTGTGAGCCATCTCACTTGAGGTGATTGTTTTAATTTTCTCTTTGGGCTGAGCATGGCGGCTCATGCCTGTAATTCCAGTACTCTGGTAGGCTGAGGCAGGAGGATCACTTGAGCTCAGGAGCTCCAGACCAGCCTGGGCAAGAGTGAGACCACATTCTCTATTAAAATAGTAAAAATTAGCCAGGCGTGGTGGTGCATGACTGCAGTCCCAGCTTCCCAGGAGGCTGAGGCAGGAGGATCACTTGAGCTCAGGAGTTTGAGGTTGCAGTGAGCTATGATGACACCACTGCACTCTAGCCGAGGAGACAGAGCAAGACTCTTTTTTTTTTGCCTCAAAAAAAAAAAAAAAAAAGACACAATTATGCTTATGCATGTGTATATATATGTATATGTGTATATATATGTAGAGAGAGAGAGAGAACGTTTTATAAGAAAAGAAGAACTACAGACTGAGGGGCATTTCAGATTGGTACCTTGTGTGAAACCCCCAGCACATCTGGGGGATTGCAAGGTCGCAGCATAGGGTGAAGCTGAGACCCGCCTTTTACTTCTTCGGTATCTGACACTCCTATCGTACATCACTGGTAAGTATAAATGGGGGGGAAGATTTTTCTTCTCAAGCTGACTGATGTTTTTTTCTTAAAGGGATTTATAACCCGCTCAGATTACTTGTATATTTTTAATGACACCTTTTAAATATACTTACAGTGTTTCCTCTACTAGAAGAACAGGATTTGTATTCCAATGTATTCAGTGCCTATTGAGCACCAGATACTATGCTAAGTTTTTACATACTACAACTTATTTTAATAGCATGTTTGCTAAATGACAGCTAAACTAGAATTGTCTTCAAAATAAAGAAAATAATAGCACAATATGTTAAAAACATTCTTGTTATAGTCATCTTATAGTATTTTAAAATTACTAAATTTTATGATAAATGAAAAATTATGTATTGTCTTAAAAATGAATCTACTTTCTATCTTCTCTATAATTTTAAGATATTAGAGTACTTACGATTGTGAAAAAATTATAAAGGAAAATTTCCTTATATAACAGAGAGACAATCTTGCAATTTGTAAAAACAAAACATTAATTTTTATACAATTTTATTAATAAACACACTTAAGAAATACTGATATAATACATTAAATTTTCAAAATGTTACCATGATGTTCTAAAACTTTACATTTTTTTCCCAGGACAATGCAAAAGAAAAAAATGCAGTGATAACAAATATGCATATTTTACAAAAAGCTCCATTTATCATGGAAATTACTGAGATTACAAAGACTGGATGAACTATGACTGAATTTCATATCCTAATGGGTCAAGTCCCTGGTCTAAAAGCATTAGAGAAGATTCTCTTAGCTTCTGCAGCAATTTCCTTAGTTCTTCCTTAGAAAATACCTGATTTTAAAAAAGAGAAAAAAGTTAATAAGAACAGAGAAGATGATGAACTTATAGTCACCTAATCAATCTGATTAGCTCAACAGAAAAAGAAATTACTCTTTAAGATTTATGCAAGTGCCTCTAATCCTAGTTACTTGGGAGGCTGAGGTAGGAGGATTGCTTGAGACCAGGAATTCAAGATCAGCCTGGGCAACCTAGGGAGACCTTCATTTAAAAAACAAAAACAAAACAAAACAAAAACAAAACAAAA